CCAGACACCTGCACCATCATCATCATCACCGCCACAACCACCAACATCCCTAACATCACCACCACCTTCATCTCTAGCATCACCACCAACCATAAGCACCACCACCACCCTGGAAACACAAACCGAAACTGTCTCTATTTTCCGCTTGTTACAACTTGTAATAAAGTTGTTACATCTTGGCTTAACGTGTTTATGACGTATTAGAACGTTGTTACAACTTGCTATATTGGCTGTTATAACTGGTTAGGTGGTGTTAAAACTTGTTCGAACGTTGTACCAACGTCGTAGTTTCGGTGTGTGTTTGGCGGGCACCACCACCACCATGCACCACCACCACCACCACACACTCGACCATAACAACCACTACCACCCCATACACTTCACCACAACTACTTACACCATAACCAACATCCCCACTTGCACTATCATTACCACCATCACCTGCACCACCATTCGAGGGGAAAAAGCTCGTTCATGTTAATATTAACAGACGATACAAAGCTAACGAGGAATGTAAAAATCGAGGCGTGCAGAAGATTACAGGAAGACCTTGAAAAATACTAAGAGTGGGCAGACAAATGGCTGCTAGAATTCAACCCCCATCAAATGCAAGGTATTATACATGAGAAAGGGAGAAAGAGGAGTAAAATTAATCAACATCTTTTGGGGAAAATAACAGTATTCGGAAACAGCTTTAAGAATTTATATAATTTAAACACTAACACCGCAAGGTAACGCAAGGTAACGCAAGGTAACGCAAGGTAACGCAAGGTAAGGCAAGGAGGAACACATAAACAGGGTAACATCGCCAGCATATGGAAAGCTGACAAACATTGGAACGTCATTTGAAAGCCTGGATTCAGACTCAGTGTAATTTACAGTCTATTTTAAACCGATATTGGACTGTGAAGAACCGGCCTGAAATTCGCATCTTGTGAAGTACAGAACGCAAATTTTAATAGCCGAGTGGTTTGCAACGAGATTGGAGCCCAAACAGAGAGGTTTATGCAAGGAAGTCTCGTCACCCAAGGGGAAAGAAGACACGGTGGATATGATCACAACACACAAGATACTGAAAAGAATATTCAAGGTAAATAAGGAAAGGTAAGGTAAATTTCAGAACAAAGCGCCAAGCCATTAAGACAATATAGCACTTGGAAAGAACCTGGATAAGGGTTTGGGATGGGACGGAGGGAAGGAATGGTGCCCAACCACTTGGACGGTCGGGGGATTGAACGTCGACCTGCATGAGGCGAGACCGTCGCTCTACCGTCCAGCTCAAGTGGTTGTGTAGGTAGACAAAGGAAAGACTCTTTATATATTTCGAGAAAGTAGGACAAAAAGACATAGGTAGAAGCTGGATTCTCAAATGATTCGACGACAACACAACACAGTAAGGCAACACTCGTACCGTGAACGGGTTCACGGTACGAGTGTTGTACTCGTACAACAGTACGGGTACATACTGTACTCGTATGTACGAGTACAGTACATACGAGTGCACTGAAAGCAGAAGTTGTGGAAGCCACCTCCATCCAGAACTTTAAATCTAGATTCATTAAAGATTTCGCACGCCACAATAATGAAAACATAAAGTAACAGGTACAAGACGGCAAGTTGGCGGGGCACCAGGAGCTACACATCACTTTCTTGCAGTTATAAGAAAGTGATAATTTTGGTTATTGTGATATAAGCACTTTTTTTTTGCAGGGGTATTCCTGCGCGGGCCCTAAGCCTCTGGCTGGCCCACTAAGTGTTTCTTTGTTGACCAGAACACACACTAGAAATTGAAGGGACGACGACGTTTCGGTTCGTCCTGGACCATTCTCAAGTCGATCTTGAGAATGGTCCAGGACGGACCGAAACGTAGTCGTCCCTTCAATTTCTAGTGTGTGGTCTGGTCAACATACTTCAGCCACGTTATTGTGACTCATCGCCTGCATAAGTGTTTCTTGTTTCTGTTCTACTTGTTCCCTCCGTCGCATCCAAGCCTGACGCGATGTAGGTGTACTCCTGTTGTTCTACTACTCCCTCTTGATAAGCTCTATCACCATAACCAACAGCACCACCACCACTTGCACCACCATCTCTGCCACTTACACCATAACCACTATACTTGTACCATCAATGCCATCTACACCACACCACCACCACCACCACTACCACCACCTGCACCTCCACCACCACCTTGAGTATCAGTAACATCAAACCATTAACTTGAACTCTTAATACCGAGCAAATGAGGTACTGGGGACACGAGAAGGACATCACAGGAGTCATAAATACAGGAAGCGAGTCCCCGGGTCGTCCCCGGGTCGTCCCCGGGTCGTCCTCGGGTTACTACCCAACTCCACTTCACTTTTATAACCCATGGACCGTCTCTATGAGTTTTTTTTTATCTATAATTTAATGCCATTTAAAATTATAATCATAATGTTTTAGTTTAAGTCAATTATGATATTTTTTGTGCATTTTTATTTGATTCTATACCAAGTTTTATATTATTTTTCTTCAATATTCTTTTTATCTAGTGTTCGTTCGTTTCGAATCTTTCTTTACTCTCCTGGGCTACTTTCTAGTATCTTTCTCCTCATATGTTTTAAGCCTCTTGCAACTTTAAGTATTTTTTTATTTGATATTCATCCAAAAATCACTTAAGGATCATAGAACAAATATTTTTGATATACACTAAACCAAACATTTAATACACAAGTAATGACCACTTAAAAGCCCCTTCAGATCTTTTAATGGATAAATAGATCAGTACATTGTTGAGTTGTCTCTGTAGCATGGAGGGTTGCCAGTGTAGTCCCGGAGCTAAGAACGGAGCACATCTCTCACCCAGTTCTCACGATTTGGCAAGCAGTAAAATTTAAGTCGCTTTATTTAACAAGAAGCCTGTGAATCCATGCGATCTAGCAAGTCCTCCTAACCATTTTCCCCTCCACCATCTCCTAGTCCTTCCCACTATCTCCCACTCCCCCATCTCTTCGTCCTCCCTACCATTCTCCCCTCCCCCGTCCCCTCGTCCTCCCCACCATTCTCCATTCCCCTGACCCCTCGTTCCCACCATCCCCAACTCCCACGTCCCCTCGTTCTCCCCACCATTACCCCCTCCCCTGCCCCCTTGTCATCCCCACAATTCCCCACTCCCGTCCCCTCATTTTCCCCACTTCCTTGTCCGATGAGTTTCCAAATGATCTGTTGTTGCCATCAGAAAATTGGGAACATCAAATGATCTGATGTTCCTATCACTGAATTATAAGAAAACACGTTAAACGAACTAAAAACAATGAAAAAAATACAAAAATAAACTATACTCACGAAATGAACGGTATGGTAAACAACACAGTTGAATTCCAACGCAATGTCACACAAAATAATTCAATCAAAATGAAAATAAATGGAAATCTATGAAAATTCAATTTATAAATGAAATCGGAAACATTGAAATGGAATCGTAATATTTTTAGTATAGCATGTGTTACTCTTACGTGGAACAGATGGCGCTGTATTTAAAAAAAAAGAATGTTTTTACCTGTCCCAGGTGTGGCCTATAAACTTATACTTATGAAATGAACGGTAAGGTAAACAACACAGCTCAATTCCAACGCAAAATCACACAAAATAATTAAATCAAAATGAAAATAAATCGAAATCAATGAAAATTTAATTTATCAATACTATCGGAAACACTGAAATGGAATCATAACATATTTAGAATAGGATGTTTTGCTATTACATGCAACAGATGGCGCTGTTTTCAAAAAAAGCATGATTATTCCTGTCACAGGTGAGGCATGTATATAGTAGGCATATAAAAACACGCGCATACTCGAAAGCAACGTTGTGACAAAATTTCAAAGCAATCAGTAAAGAGGGTTTGAAGATTTCCCTCACATGAAAAACACTTAAAAACACAGTTTTTCAAAAAAGTATGTTTTTCCCGTCACATATGTGACATCTATATAGTATGTATATAAAAACCTGCTCGGATGCGACTGGAACGATGTGTGAAAATTTCAAGACAATCAGTGAAGAACTTTCTAAGATTAGCGGTTTTGAACAAACGAAGATTTACATTTTTATGCAGGCGATGAGTCACAATAACGTGGCTAAAGTAATTTGACCAAACCACACACTAGAAGGTGAAGGGACGACGACGTTTCGGTCCGTCCTGGACCATTCTCAAGTCGATTTACATTTTTAATTATATAATACAATACAATACAATACAATACAATTTTATTTAGGTAAGGTACATACATACAATAAATATTTACAAGGATTGTTTGACTTATAGGTAGAGCTAGTACATACAATGCCTAAAGCCACTATTACGCAAAGCGTTTCGGGCATGAGGTATATCTATATATAGATATATAGTCTTCCTGACCCCGACAAATCGAACAAAAAATAAATGGGTGAAAACAGGAGTTTATTCATATATTCTAGTAGTAGGCCTACTGCAGAGCTAATTTAGGTCATATGTTTATATGTCTTTCATCAAGATCCACATTGTTTCTTCGGATACATTTTTCCTTAATTTTCTTTAATTAAATTCACATTAGCTTTAGCTCTGGCCTCGTTGCTTTCTTTATTTGTGTTCTGTATATAAAAGTTGGTACCGGAGGAAACGACTCTTGACTCCTTTTAGCACGCTGAGGGCTTTTCCTTCTCGTATCTCATCCTTAACCAGTTTTCCCTGAAACACGATCCCCAATTTAGGTTACAACCTGGTCCGCTGTTACTGCTGAGTGAACAGGGGCGGACAGTTGAGGTATGGTAAGGTCATAATGAGAAGAAATCACTAAGCCATTATGACTATACAGCACGTGGAAAAGGATGTGGATAAGGATTTGCGATAGTCCGGAGGCAAGGAATAGTGCCCAGTCATTTGGACGGTCGGGGGATTGAACGACGACCCGCAAGAAGCAAGAGCGTCCCTTTACCGTCCAATCACTTGGACTGGACGGTAGGTTTTCCTCCTAGTCTGGGACTCAAGCCCCGAAAGAAATCGCTCGCCCGAGCGTTCGATCAAAACTCCGCTTCAAATCTTTCATTATTCCCTGAGCGCTGGGTGACGAGGGGTCGGCCTCGGGTGACGAGGGGTCGGTCTCGGGTGACGAGGGGTCGGCCTTGGGTGACGACGGGTCGGCCTTGGGTGACGACGGGTCGGCCTTGGGTGACGAGGGGTCGGCCTCGGGTGACGAGGGGTCGGCCTCGGGTGACGAGGGGTCGGCCTCGGGTGACGAGGGATCGGCCTCGGGTGACGAGGGGTCGGCCTCGGGTGACGAGGGGTCGGCCTCGGGTGACGAGGGGTCGGCCTCGGGTGACGAGGGGTCGGCCTCGGGTAACGAGGGGTCGGCCTCGGGTGACGAGGGGTCGGCCGTCAACACATAACCGAGGAGGCAGCCACATAAAGAACATATAAAGAAGTCATAAGCCAATAATTCCCCTCCATGGTTACTGCCAGCGTCCATAAACTTGGCATCTATACGGCTGTGATAGAGAGGCCGTTGTCATTATATTGCCCCGGCTTATTATACAAGTTCAGCGGCTGGTCCTTATTCGTGAGGGTTCAGGTTTAACTCGGCGTGATTCGTGAAGGTTCACGCTTAACACGGCGTGATTCGTGAAAGTTCAGACTTAACACGGCGTGATTCGTGAGGGTTCAGGTTTAACTCGGCGTGATTCGTGAAGGTTCACGCTTAACACGGCGTGATTCGTGAAAGTTCAAACTCTTGGTTATGCTTGAAGGTTCAAGTTTAGCTGCTAGCATTAAAGTTCCAACTTCAGAATCAGGTGATTACCCTGTCCACTCCCTCAGTTTCCTATTTAATATTAGGATATTCAATTGTGAAAGTGATCATCAGTTTTGTCTTCAGTCATTTTTCCAGCATTTTAATTTTTGTTAAGTTTAAACTGGTGTTAATTCATCACATCTGAAACAATGAAGAAACTCATAGCAAAACACTAGAGGAAAAAAAATGCGTTTATTTTTTTATTACTGCATTTGATAATAATGTTCAAATTTAGTCTCCATGATGCCATCAGGAACACTGCAACGATGAATTTTTAATTTCCACTCATACAGGCAGTAGAGAGAAACAGTGGATCAAATTAAATAAAGTTCGAACACTGTGCACCCCAGGGTACCTTTGTACCCCAGGGTACCTCTGTACCTCAGGATCCCTCTGTACCTCAGGGTACCTCTGTACCCTAGGGCACGGTCCTTGTACCACTGAGATTGTTTAATTCTCATATTAAATATTGACAAAACAATTATAGCTTCACACCTTCCTGTCCTCCTCAGCAGACGAGATAAATATCCTCATGAAAATGGCCTTTAAGAAAGACATTGAAAATCAATAAACCGATATCAATAGAGTCCACAACTGGGAAATACAAAATAGCATGAATTTTAACAGTGGAAAATCAATTCCAAACGCTTCGGTATGATAAACTTAAGAAATTAAACGAAATACAAAACCCTATTAGACTTCCTTGGAGTATAAAAGAACGACATGCAAAGTATTTGGGAACAATGAGATCAGATGAACTAACAAATACATAACTCATACGTATTCATATACATAACTCAGTGAGCATAACAAATACACCGTTGCATCACCAGGAAAATGACTGGATGGATTATGAGAACTTTATCATAATCCATCCAGAAGGGAGTCCAACAAAATGTTACTTTTCAAACCCCTGGTGCATTTTTACCTCCACGAACACTGCTCAATACTCAAGTGTCTGATCAGAGCAAGAGAGAGATTGCGGAAATAGAAGTAACACAGAGAACATTATTGGGACGAACTAACGAATTATTGGGACGAATTAACGAATTATTGGGACGACTTAACGAATTATTGGGACCGTTTCAAGGCTCTCAAAATGTTCTCTCTCAGAGGGTGACGAGAGAGATGTCACATAATATATACACAGAAGAGACTGGAAGGTCAGAAAAATACACCACCTTACTGGAGATAAGGATATGATAGGAATCTCAGAACAGACCAAGTGAAGAGTACAGGAGCCCTACTCAGAGACCAGAGTGGAAGCCCTACTCAGAGACCAGAGTGGGAGCCCTACTCAGATACCAGAGTGGAAGCCCTGCTCAGAGACCAGAGTGGAAGCCCTACTCAGATACCAGAGTGGAAGCCCTGCTCAGAGACCAGAGTGGAAGCCCTACTCAGAGACCAGAGTGGGAGCCCTACTCAGATACCTGGAAGCCCTGCTCAGATACCAGAGTGGGAGCCCTACTCAGATACCTACTCAGATACCAGAGTGGAAGCCCTACTCAGATACCAGAGTGGAAGCCCTACTCAGAGACCAGAGTGGAAGCCCTACTCAGAGACCAGAGTGGAAGCCCTACTCAGAGACCAGAGTGGAAGCCCTACTCAGAGACCAGAGTGGAAGCCCTACTCAGAGACCAGAGTGGAAGCCCTACTCAGAGACCAGAGTGGAAGCCCTACTCAGAGACCAGAGTGGAAGCCCTACACACACTAACTATATGAACCCCAGACATCCTCGGCTGTCCAATCTCCACCCAACAAATATAAGAATTATTGGGGAAACAAAAGTGAACAGGTTCAGAAAACAATTATATAAGTTTCTGCAGGAAGTTCCGGATCAACTGAAATGGGGGATTTGGGCATGCGGGCCGCATCCAGCAACAACCTTCTAGATCAGAAGATCTTCTAGATCTAGAATAGAAGATCTCTCGGAACCTTCAACAGGTATACTCCAGGTATTCTTATTTTTCAGTAAATTTGTAAACTTATTATAGGATATGACGAGCAAGAAAATTTCAGGTGGCATTGCTATATACAGTTTAAAAGGAGTTGAAATTGAGTTTGAAAGTGCACTATCTTCTCGGTAGCCTACGGAAGCAAGCAAGCAGCAGCGACTCACCACTGGAGTATCTACTAGGTGGTGGGAGGTGGTATATTAGATTCAGCTACTCGGAAGTATAAGTTACAAGTAGTACGGGCTATGGTGAGCCCGTAGTGGACTTACCTGGCACAGGAGCAGAGCAAGTAGCACGGCTATGGTGAGCCCGTAGTGGACTTACCTGGCACAGGAGCAGGGCAAGTAGCACGGGCTATGGTAAGCCGGTAGTGGACTTACCTGGCAGAGGAGCAGGGCAAGTAGCACGGGCTATGGTGAGCCCGTAGTGGACTTACCTGGCACAGGAGCAGGGCAAGTAGCACGGCTATGGTGAGCCCGTAGTGGACTTACCTGGCACAGGAACAGGGCAAGTAGCACGGCTATGGTGAGCCCGTAGTGGACTTACCTGGCACAGGAGCGAAGCAGTAACTGTTTTCTTAACATACTCCGCCGTTTGTGTGAAAGTGACCCGTAGTATGATACTGAAGTATGAGGTCAAATTAACATTGTGCCGCACATAAATATTTTTTCAATATATGCAGTAATTGACGTCTATGTGTATAACTCAGTGGGTGTATGACACTGCAATCCCTCTCAATCCCTTGATCAACTTTACCTCGCCACGAACCCTGGAAACACAAACCGAAACTGTCTCTATTTTCCGCTTATTAAAACTTGTAATAAAGTTGTTACATCTTGGCTTAACGTGTTTATGTCGTATTAGAACGTTTTTACAACTTGCTATATTGGTTGTTATAACTGGTTAGGTGGTGTTAAAACTTGTTCGAACGTTGTACCAACGTCGTAGTTTCGGTGTGTGTTTGGCTGGAATAGGTCGCATTTTAGACGTTAAGGCAACCAACATCTAAAATTCGACTTACTATGGAAAGTAACGAATGACAGATATCGACGTTTTCCATTCATGGGGGTTGCTTATAGTTAGGTGGGTTGCTTGGGTTCGTTCGTTCCTGATTAGGTTAGGAGGATGTATTCTGGACGTTGTGGCACACCAGGAGAACGGCCGGCTCTGAGAGCCAAGATACACACTGTGTTCATGACAATATGTACCAATTGCGTCGTTATTAGGGTGCTTTGAGATGGTGTGCGTTACTGTGCTTAAATAATATGGAGGGTAGCACTGTTCGTACTTCACGAGATCACGTGACCTAGGATAGCTAATAGGCTCTGACCGTGCGACCCCCTATCCACGCAAGGATAGGTCGGCAGTCATCGTTTCATCTCTGTTCCATCCATTCTAGAGCCTCAGAGTTTCATCTCTGTTCCATCTAATCCAGAGCTTCAGAGTTCCATCTCTGTTCCATCCACTCCAGAGTTACAGAGTTCCATCTCTGTTCCATCTACTCCAGAGTTCCGGAAATCCATCTCTGTTCCAGTTCCATCCACTCGGCGTCCTCATCTGCCTCGGAGCCACCTTGGTGTGGGACCAGATCATCAGTACCTGAGCACAGCGGCCCTCGGATGATACAACTATATTGCCGAAAGTCATTCAACACGTAACTATAGCCACTGTGAGGTATCAGTTTGTACAGTGATCTCAAGGTTTAAGCATAGTTAGGTCAGATTAGGTGAGATGGTTTCCTTACAGGTGATTTAGAAAGTGTCCACACTAAGGCCTGGAAGTGAGTGCTTCGAATCATTACTTCGAACGTAGTCAAGTATTGAACGACGAGTTCAATACTTACTTAAGTAGATCCCATTAAGTAAGTGACTTACAAAGTTGTGAACAAGAAAGGTCACATTGTTGTGATTATTTGATGAATAACATCCTGTTATCCCAAAATAAGAGTCGAGTCGGGATATACAAAGACTATAGAATCCGATAAATGGCTATATGATTTTAATAATATAAGTATAAGGTAATGAGATTGAGATGGAACGCGATAAGGACCAATAGACGAGTAGCCTACACAATGAACAGGTATACCACCTTCAAGAAACGACAAATGGAAAATACCTGAGAATTTATATTACAGAACAGCGCTAGCGGTATATGTGAATATCAAACTAATTATCAGGAACCTCATTTAGGAGGCATTCTATACACTGTTCACTACCTACGTTAGACCAATCCTCACGTATGCAGCCCCACCGTGGGGGCTCCAATACAATACAAACGAAACTCTACAACAATAATTTGGAGGATTATAACGACCGTAAAGAATGTAGTGTGTGTAAGACAAGCTAGTCAGGGGTCTCTGTATTAGCAACAGACCAGAAGAAGGGGGGCCCAAGAGTTAAAACTCTACCCTGATAGACAGACACAGGCGTATACACAATTATATTTAACTTATATTCTTTAACAAAAATGTAAATGGAGGAACGAGGTTGTCTGACAGACCCAACAGAAATAAAAGTGCCAGAGCACTCTTTCCTTTTTATTTGTCTGACCCATGATAAAACACTGCACTGAGGAGCTGGCTGAGGTGGTGCAAATGTTCGGCTGAGAGTTATATTAAGGAGACCAGAGAGAGAGAGAGAGAGAGAGAGAGAGAGAGAGAGAGAGAGAGAGAGAGAGAGACACAGACAGACAGAGACAAACACACAGAAGTGAAGGTAGTAAAAA